TTGACTGGTCGATACAATGAGTGATCTGTGTAACGAGAATGAAAATCATATCTATATTTGGACGTTTCCTCCTGTTAGAATGGATTCCATTCGAAGATATCTCTGACGTTGAATATCTCGCTAAGGGTAGTTATGGGTGTATATATAAAGCTAAATGGAAATGCGGCCCTATTAGATATTATGATGATGAAATTCAAGTATGGCACAGAATTGGAGAGACTGATATTGTTCTTAAAAGTATAAAAATTTTAAATGATATGAATGAATTTATTGAAGAGGTATCTAATTTAATGTTCAAATTATGAATCAATTTTTTTATAAGCAATTATTTAATGCTTCCTTTTTATCTTTTATTTAAGATTAAAACTCAAACTCAACTGAACTTATTCGTGGTTGGGTGTTTTGGAATAACAAAATGCCCTAATTCTGGTAATTACATTATGATTATGGACTACAAAAAAGACGGTAGTCTTCATGATTATTTATATAAAAACTTTAAGCTTCTAAGATGGTTTCAAAAATTAGATATTTTATACACTATGATTAGAGGGCTTTATGAAGTTCATGAAAAAAAACTTAATACATAAGGATTTTCACAGTGGAAATATTATCATTTCTGACAATGTTTCTTACATAGCTGATTTTGGACTGTGCAAAAATGTTAGTTCCGAAGCTGAAAAAAAAATTATTGGTGTATTACCATATGTTGATCCTGAAGTATTACGCGGAAAACCATACACGCAAGCCTCTGACATTTATTCTTTTGGAATTGTCATGAATCAGATTGCAATAGGGTTTAAACCGTATCATGATATCCCACACGATGATGAGCTTGTATTTCAGATTACATTCAACAAATTTCGCCCAGATATTAATGAAAATATCACTCCAAAAACTATTGTTGATTTGATCAAACGTTGCTGGAGTGAAGAGCCAGGTGATCGGCCGACTGCTATTGAATTACTTGACGAGCTTTCTAGTTGTAGGAGAAATGACCATAAAATATGGAATGAAATTGAGCCCATTGAAAAAAATATGAATTTCGACATTCCTCCAGAGAAAGCTTCTTTAGATTACAAACCACCAGAAAAGGCAATATATACTAGTCAATTAATTACTATTTCACAGGAATTAGGTAATTAGTTGATTTTTATTGTTTCAAATAATTATCATATTAATATTTATTTTATAATTTTAGTAAGCGAAGTTTTATTAGTTATTAATTGACGCATCATTTTTGATTGAAATATGATTTGGGTCGACTTTTAATGAAGTTGATATTATAGTAAAACTCAAATTTGTTTCACCTACAACACTAGTTTCAATATATAAATAAAGTTCAAAGATATATTGAGGACGTTTGTTTTATATTATGTATTTTATTATATAAAAAGGCAGTAATTGTTCAATAATCTAAACATTAAAAATAAATAATGAATTTATCATCGTAATACTTATTTAGTAATATCAAAAGCTCAATATATTTACTTGTCGAAAACAATTCTTATTTAAAAAAAAATTATAAAATATATTATTTTATTTAAACAATTTTTTAAATGATAGGGGGTTTCAGAATTAACTTATTTCGCAAAATAAGTGGAAGTTTAAAAATCATATTTTTTTTAAAAAAAATTCCGAATCAAAATTAAATAGGTGTAACCAGTGATAAAATTGGCTTCTTCTAATAAATACCTACTCGTAAACGATTATATAAATAAATATTTAAAAAAAATAGGATCTATACGTTACTTATTTTATCTGAAATCGGCACTAATTCTGAAACTCCCTAATACTTTTAATTGCATTTGATATTTTAGTGTGTTAATAATTTTGCCAGTATAAATACGATCAGGGGATTTATCTGCATTTTTTGATTTCGTTTTCATCATCTGAAGCCAATTTTTTAAGCCAATCACCGTTTTTTTTATAAATACTGAAGAATATCAACCGACAAAATACTAACGAAAATAGAAAATGCAAATCAAAAGACAACAGACAAATCATAAAGATTATAAACTTGTACTGCATTGCCTATAAATAATTCTAAAATAAAGAATAATTAAAAAAACGTTAATATATAATTTGAAATTATCTCTTTGTATCACAAATTATAAGTGAATTTAATTTAAAATCATCTCGTTAATTATTTAGTTGCAGCAAATACGTATTGGCATCATATTTTATTTATTTATTTTCATATACTAACAAAGAGCATTACAAGACATTTTATTAAAAAAATATCTATCTTCATATACTAATAAATTTCGAAGAATAATGCAAATCTATCATGGAGCAAACCATTTTTTAGTAAATTCATCATAATCGAAATTATTTTTCGATTTTTGAATCCATTCAATAGCTTTTTCCTGATTTTGAGGTGTTCCCATACCATCTCGATAACTTAACCCAACTATAAATTGTGCTCCTGTATTTCCACCCTTTGCAGATTTTAAAAACCATTCAAATGCCTTATTTTCGTCTCTTGAAACAGTTATACCATTTTCATAGTAGAATCCAACAATTAATTGCCCTTTAGAATTTCCGTTTTCTGCAGATTTTAAGTACCACTCAAATGATTTCTTTTCATCTTTAGAAACGCCCATACCGTCAGTATAGCAAGCACCAACAAGAAATTGGCCATCTGGATCACCATTTTTTGCTGATTTCAAAAACATTTCAAATGCCTTCTTTTCATTTTTACAAACATGTATGCCTTCACTATAGTAAAATCCAACGATAATTTGTCCTTTCTGATTTCCACTATTAGCAGACTTCAAATACCATTCGAATGCCTTCTTCTCATCTTTAGAGACGCCAAAGCCTTTTCGATAACAAGTTCCAACGAAAAATTGACCATGAGAATCATCATTTTCAGCTGATTTCAAATACCATTCGAATGCTTTCTTCTTATCTTTAGAGACGCCCATACCATTTTGATAACAAATTCCAACAAGAAATTGACCATTAGAATCATCACTTTTAGCAGATTTTAAAAAATTTTCAAATGCCTTCTTTTCATCTTTGGAAACACCTCTACCATCTTGATAACAAAGACCGACAGCTATTAATCCTTGAGAATAACCTTTTTCAGCAGATTTTGTAAAGTATTCAAATGCTTTTTTTTCATCTTTTAAAACACCTCTACCACTTATATAACATTTTCCAACGGCGCATAATCCAATAGGATGACCATCTTTAGCAGATTTTAAAAACCATTTAAAACCTTTATTCTCATCTTTAGTAACACCATTGCCTTTAATATAACAAATTCCAACATTATATTTTCCATAATAAGAACCACCTTCAGCCGATCTTTTAAACCATTCAAAAGCTTTCTTTTCATCTATAGGAACGCCTTTACCTTCACGATAACAAGATCCAAGTTTTAATTGACCATGAGAATCACCTTTTTTAGCAGATTTTAAATACCATTCAAAAGCTTCTTTTTCATCTT